ATCGGGCGGCTCAGAGACGTGCTGCGCAGGAGCAGCGAGAGACTCGTCAAGAAACTACAGGGCAGCGGACCAGCACACACACACAACAGCACGTATGAACACACACACACACACACACACACAACAGCACGTATGAACACACACACACACACACACACACACAAACAGCATGTATGAACACACACACACACACACACAACAGCACGTATGAACACACACACACACAACAGCACGTATGAACACACACACACACAACACAACAGCATGTATGAACACACACACACACACACACACACACACAACAGCACGTATGAACACACACACACACACACACAACAGCATGTATGAACACACACACACACACACAACAACAGCACGTATGAACACACACACACACACACAACAGCACGTATGAACACACACACACACACACACACACACAACAGCACGTAATGAACACACACACACACACACACACACACAACGCATGTATGAACACACCACACACACACACACAAAGCACGTATGAACACACACACACACACACACACACACAACAGCATGTATGAACACACACACACACACACACAACAGCACGTATGAACACACACAAACACACACACAACAGCACGTAATGAACACACACACACACACAACAGCACGTATGAAACACACACACACACAACAGCACGTATGAACACACACAAACACACACACAACAGCACGTATGAACACACACACACACACACAACAGCACGTATGAAACACACACACACACACAACAGCACGTATGAACACACACACACACAACAGCACGTATGAACACACACACACACACACACACACACAACAACACGTATGAACACACACACACACACACTCATACAACAGTGTGTTCTCGTCTGGTTTGTAATTAAACACATTATAGCAGTTGCAGCATTAAATTACTTGGCTCGTGATGATGGAATGATGAACAATTTTCGTGTGTGTGTGTGTGTGTGTGTGTGTGTGTGTGTGTGTGCCCGTTTACACTTCCGCTCAAAAGTTTGGAATAATTATGATTTTTGAAATGTTTTGAGTGTCTTCTGCTCAGCGAGAGTTGTTAGTATGTTTTGCTGTGTGTGTGTTTGATGTGTGTGTGTTTGGTGTGTGTGTGTTTGATGTGTGTGTCTCCTCCCCAGAATGAAGCGCGCCGCTTCCCTGAACGTCCTGAACAAGCCGAGTGACGAGGCCTACCAGGTGATGATGTCACCCACACTGATGATGATGTCACTCATAGTATTAGAAATATGTTGTCTTTGTGTATATAATAGAGATGATGTTGATGTCAGACGACGGTTAATGTTTCATCTCTCTCTCTGTGTGTGTGTGTGTGTGTGTGTGTGTGTGTGTGATCAGACTCTGGGTGGCAGACGACTGAGAGACAGCCGCGGTTTGAGCTCCAGTGATGTGGATCTGTACAACAGCAGCTAAACCTGCGTGCTCGACCAAACACTGCGCTACACACACACACACACACACACACACACACACACACACACTCTCTCTCTTTCTCATGTAAAGCCATAAACCCTTCTGCTGGAGGGGAACTGATGCTGCTTCGGTTCGTGACCCGTACTGATCCAGGAACTGCTCAACACTACAGTTACAGTAGAGTTACAGTAGAGTTACACTACAGTTACACTAGAGTTACAGTAGAGTTACAGTAGAGTTACACTACAGTTACAGTAGAGTTACAGTAGAGTTACACTACAGTTACAGTAGAGTTACAGTAGAGTTACAGTAGAGTTACACTAGAGTTACAGTAGAGTTGTGTTGTTTACACGGAGGGTCACGATCTGCTGACAGGAGCAGAGACCCGGACTGCCTTTAACGGGTTCATGGGGATCTCCAAACTTATTAATAAAACTGAATGTAAGAGAATTAGCAGTGATGAAATAATGAAGATCATATAATAATCAGCTCTGCTTCAGTCTGTGCGGGGGATGTTTAAATGCCGTCTGTTCTCAGGGGACACACACACTCACACACACACGTGACGCTGCGTCTCAGAAAGGTCAATATATGATGAATAATCAGTTGATATGTGTATAATGTGCAGCAGAGATGTGAGGTTATAAAAGCTAATTATCTGTGTGGAACGAGACTGCACACAACAGTGATGATGTCATCGTGAACCATGCTCTGCTGTTTATATTTCCAGATGCTTTACGCGGCGCATCATTTCCTCCAGGTCATAACTCCTCACTGTAAGCACAGTTGGTGTCAGGGTTTTCTATATTTCAGGAAGTGGGTTATTGCATGAATATTATATATATGTATTTAAACTGGTTCAGGTTGCTGTACTAATGTTGTCAGTCAAGTGCCTGAAGAGTCCAGATCACACTGATGATCATCAGGACCTCATGCTGACTTACGAATGTTTATGGGTTACAATATTATGGATGATCCTTTCAGTTTGTAAATGTATTTTATAAAGAGCAACAGAAAAACACTGAGG